CGGCCGCCCCGTCCCCCCGCGTCTTCCCCGCCGGCCCCCTACACGCGTCCTGCCCGCCCCTTGGCCCCGTCCTGCCTGGCCCCTGCCCGTGGCTGGCCTCTGCCCTGCCTGGCCCCCGCTCATCTCCTGCCTGGGCCTTGCCCTGCCTTGCCCACGGCCGGGAGCGCGTGGCAGGGTGCAGGCAGGCTGCCTGCTCCTCCTTCCCTCCCATCGAGGCATGGTGGGCAGGGTGCAGGCAGGCTGCCTGCTCCTCCTTCCCTCCCATCGAGGCCCGGACGATGGTGGGCAGGGTGCAGGATGGGGGTACGCCGGTCCCTGCAGCCCCCAGCGTGCCGGGAGCATCGCTCGCTGCTTCATCGGCAGCAACGGGCGCGTTCCCCCTCCCGCTCATCCTGAGCTGTCATTTCCCAGAGCCCTGCACCGAGGTTTTCTCACAGCCGTGTCCAAGAGGTTACCAGAAAGCTGACCAGCCTGACCAAACTCCAGGCAGTTTCCCATCAGTCTCTTCTGAGGCCAAGCATAATTTAAAAAAAAACCACCAAAACCCCAAAAAACCACAGCACTCCTCTCACTTCCACCAAGCTCCAGTCTGGTGGGTAAATCTGGGAACAGGGTGCTGGGGGGTCTGTTCCCACCTCTGCTTGGGGAGACCCGGAGACGCTCCCAGACCTGGCTAACCTCGTCCCGGGTGCGGCACCGTGCTTTGGAGCCACTGCTGATGGGCAGCCCCACGGTGCAGGGGTGCCTGAAAATAAATACTGTATAGATGCCAAGCAAGCCCCCCCAGTGATTGCTAACCATGATAATGATGCCTTGTTAAATGAGACACTGTTTTTCCAGCCAGGCAGTGGGAGAAGTGGTGGCTGGGAGAGAAAACTGGGTTGAAATCTGGTCCTGGATGTGCCACCAACCTATTATTTTACGGATGCCAAACCCCGGGACCTCTTTTCCCCCTTATCCTCCCTCTCTGCAGGCAGGGAGCTCTTTGGGTTTTCTCTCCCAGCATGTGCGCTGCTACAGGGAGGTGGATTTGGGTTTGGGCCTGGCCTGCAACGTAATGCCATAATCAGGGGCTGTTGCATTTTTGGGCAGGGATCTTGTCCAACTTGCATTTTTCCTGCTGTCACGTGCTCCATTCATCTCTGGCACTGGATAAACAATACCATAATACCAGGCAGGACGAAGCAGGGAGCTGCTTCCTCAGGCAAGCCCCAGCGTTTGCCTTCTCCTGATTTTAGGCTATACATTCCCCTGGTCAGCCCTTGAACCATGGCCCCAGCTAGAAATGATCGGGGAGGCTGTGGACACGGGTTTGGTTTTGCACGGCACCGCCCGTGTCTGGGGAGAGACCTGTGCTGCCAAAGAAGCCTCCCATAATAAAAGAAAAAAAAAAGCAGTTAGACCGTACAAACACAGGAACTGAATCCCACACTCCCCACTTCCCGCTATTGCTGCAGAGCCCAGCCCTCCAGTCTCAATTTTTTTCAGGCGCGCTTTGTCTCCAACCCGATGGCACAGCAACCGCGGCTCGAGAGGCAGCTGAAAAGCCCGATCGGCAAAACCCTGAATGAAGAAAGAGCCCCTTTCTCCAGGAGCCAAAAGGGGAGTAAAGGCACTTTTCCCCCGACCAGCTGCTCTCCCGCTCCTGCAGCCTTGGCGCTGGCTGGGGACACGCGCCGTGGCCAGATGTTGGGGTCCCGGCCGGCACCACGGGGTGAGCGACAATATGGGCTCTGTGTGCTGCCGGCCCCCCGAGCGATGAGGGGGGGCTGCCGAGCCGCCGTGCTGCTGCCAGCACTGGCACAAGGGCTCTCCTGGCCCCCCGGCGCTGTCCATAACCCCCTTCCCAGGGCTGGTGCTCGGCTCGGCACAGCTGCCCGGGGTCAGTGAGCTGCGGCGGCAAGGGGGAGCCGTTCTTTTGGCGGCATTGTCCCACCGGAGCGAGACTCCCCAGGGATCAGCAGGCCACTGGCCACGTCCCCTCAGGCTTCCTCTTCAGGTGCCCGGCCTCCTGGCTCGGCCGTTGTGCCTCCTGGCTCGGCGGCCCCGCCTCCTGGACCGCCCGTTGCCCGCCACGCGGATGCCCCCAGCGAGGCAACGTCCCCCTTGGGGAAATGGTGATGGGGTAAGCAGGGCAACTGCTTACCCCTCGGTGGGCGCAGGATGGTACCCAAGGGGTGGGGAGCAGGAGGCTGCCGCAGGGAGGATGCTCTCAGGACTGCCCTGTGCCCTGTTAGTTGCCATTCAGCCACTCTTCTGGGTACGAAGAGCCTAACCCTAACCAGGGTGGCCCCAGTGCCAGAAAAGTTTTGGTGCCCCGGGAATACAAGAGCCAGAGGAGAGGGATGGTCACATCTGCTCTGCAGGAAGGATGCCAGGGCTGGACCAGGAGGGGTGTCTCACTTCCTCCCCCAAAAGGGATCCCATTTTGGATGCAGCCTGTAACTCACCCCACTGAGATGTCGTAGGGTGAGCCCGGCCGTGGCTGCGGGGTGGCGGCGGTGTGCTCCCTGCTCTGCCCAGCCCCACAGGGATGGGTCTGAGCCAGAACCCGCTGCCCAAGTCCCCCACATCTCAGGGATATGCCCTTCACAGAGGAACCCCACCAGCTCATTCCCACTGCAAATTAACCTCACTGAAACCCCATAGTGGTTTTCCACTGGAGCTGGCTGGATTCAGCCCCACACCAACCCAGGGCCGGGGTTGCACGTGGGGCATCTCCCTTTCAGCCGTACCACGGTATTAGGTCAGTTTAAATTGGTTTAAACCCTCCACATCGGCCCCGCTCACAGCCTGACCCCGGCGCTCAATAGGTGGTCCCTAAGAGGCTCCCAGGTTCTCAGGGCTGCTAAAAACGGTTAATAAATCCCCAGTAATAAAGTGTTCAGGTCATCCGAGAGAAACGCCGTGCTCAGGCTGCAAAGCTGCATTGTCTGCCCAGACCAATTTACGCGCTTCGTCGGACAGGGGTTAAAAGCTCTGTCAGGCGCTGACTTCACCGCCATCGTATTGTCGTGGGTATTTAACGGGGTTCGGCCCCGACACGCAGCCGGGCAGCCGCTGCTCTGACCGCATGGCCGAGGTGTGCGAGGGAGATGTCGGAGGAGGGCGGCCCGGGAGCCAGATCCTGCCTGTGGTTCCCCTCTCACTCCCCACTTTTTCTTTCTGGGATTTTCTGAGAGCACAAAAGAGACTTTGCATCAGTTACTGGTACGAAAATGGCAGCGCCGCGCGGCAGACTTCTGCACTCCCTGGCCCGGCTTTGGTTAACCTCCCATTGTCTGACAGGCTCCGCTATTCAGGGCTAGTGCGAGGGCTCATTTTTTTCATCTATTGGGTTTTTTTAACCACCCTGGGAACATAAAACCTTCCTGCCCTTGTAGCAGAGGGTCTGGCAGTGCCATCGGGGTGGCTGTGGAGAGTGGAGCACGGCAGTGCCCCTCTGTCCAGCACCCAAACCTCCTGCAACAGGTGCTCATGATGCAGCTCCTGATGCTGAACTGTCCCCGTCCCCATTGTCCCCTGATGTGCTCCGACTCTGGCACCGCTCTGTGCCAGGACCTGCTGCAAACCCCACCCACTCTCTGTGGCCTCAGACCCTACATCGCTTTCCCCCTCCACCTCGGGGGACTGCGGGTCCCCTCGGCGGGGTGGGGGGGACACGATGCGATCCATGCAAGGCACTTTGAGATCCCATGGGGCCGGGGGGCTATACAAATGCAAAGCGTTATTATTTTCCCGGGGCTGAAGCAGAGGCCTGAGAAAGGTTGAGGGAGAGAGGCATGGAGCGGGGAACAGCGGGGGATTTAGCTCCTGAAAAGGAGCCGGGGAAAAAAGCGGGCGAAGAGCTTCATTGTGCGCTGGGCAGAGGGGGTCACGAGCAAGTTAAACTGGTTAATGTATTGGAGCAGCTTCCTCCGAGCTGGCGGGAGCAAGCAAAGCCCTGCAACAAAAGGCCGAGGGAGCATTCTTGCGGGGAAAGTGGGCTCTCTTTAAAAGGATTTGATTTCTTTTCTGTCAGTTGAATGGAATTTGGTGGTGACTCCTCCAGGTCTAAGAATTTGGGGCTTTGGCGGTGGCAGTGGCGGGAGGGGACGGTCCCCGTCCCCCCCTCCCCGCTCCTGCAATCTTCTCCATCTCCAAGCCCGCTGCCCCCAGATTACAGCCCCTGGTGTTGTGGGGGGAGAGGGGCTTGGGGAACACAAGCGGCCCCATAGACACACTGATCCTGAAAGAAAGCGAGGGGCACGGGGCCGTCCCCACCCGGCCTTGTTTCTCATGCTCCCTATTCAGCCCAGGGGAGGGGAGGTAGATGTGGGAAGAGGAGAGGGAGGTGGGGCGGCCGCCGCTGATTTAATGCCTCTCTTGGGGCTTCGTGGTCGAGGTGGATCTCAGGGGGGTTTCGGCAGTGTAAGGTGTGTGAGGGGAGCTTTCCGCTCCTTCCTTTGGGGAGTGAATTTTTAATGTTAAAACCATGGAACGAAGGTAAAAACAAGAGGGAAAGGGAACCTGAACTAACGAACCAGCTGGATCTGACCCTGCTTTCCCACAGCCCGTGCACCTCTCTCCTCCCAACAGCAGCTCCTGGGGCAGACCTGGCCTTACAGACCTGGCTCTCCCACCTCAAA